GGCACAAAAATAAAAGGTTTAGGACTGAATTGGCACAAAAAAAAGGTTTAGGACTAAATTGGCACTAATACAAAAGGTTTAGGACTTTTATGGCACTTTTCCCCACATTTTGCACTTCCCTTTGTTCCATATAATTGCACTTACATCTCTCCCCTCTCTCTCTCTCTCTCTCTCTCTCTCTCTCTCTCTCTCTCTCTCTCAAACGTTGACTGAATACAGATTGGTGCAGAAGTCAGTCGAAATCCTTAATCAAGAATAATTCAGTTACTTCAAGAATCAACGCATTTCTCTGTGAGCACTACTACCTAGTTAGTCGCAATTGATTATATATATATAATCCATGTTGCAAATGCACATGATGCAATCAAGATAACCTAGTCCATTGGTCAGTTTATCTTCTTTCTTTTGCGAATGTATTTGGTAGATTTGTTACGATGTACAATTTTCAATTTGTTGACATCTAATTTTGCCTACCTCGTTAAATCAACGCTTAAATGACAAATGGGCTAAATTAGGAGAGACAAAGTCATTAGGAAATAAATTTTTTTTAACAAAAAATTTAATTATTAGAGAGAAAGCCGGCTCGCCTCGGCCCGGCAACCCCAAACCTTAATCTATCTCCCTTTTATTTTTATATCAACCCGAACCCTCCTTAATCTTTCTCTATTTTCTCTTTATTTTTCCACTTGGGCTCGTGTGTGTTCAGTGTTGGCTCGCCTGGGCCTGGGTACTTGGTCGTGGCCCGGTCTCCCGGCCACATGACCAAGTATGCCCGGGGCACACGGCCCAGCATCCAGGACTTGGCCGGGGGCCCTCCCTCGGCCACTCGGCCCTGCACTCGGCCGTGATTCCCCTCCACGTCCCGCAAGGAATGACAAAGGAAGAAAAGGACAAAAAGAAAAAAGGGGAAAAGGAAGCGAAACGGTCTGATGCTGAAGGAGGCCTCGCGCAGCGTCGAAGGGCAGACGTCAGGCATGCACCGTCCTTGGTCCAGAAAAAAGGGAGGCACCGGCCGGGTATAAAGGAACTGGGAGTGAGAGGAGAGGAACAGAGGAAAGGAGAGGGGTTTGAGAGAAGAGGAGAGCGCTCCGGCTCCTCTACCGACGAGGATAGCCGGCAAATCTCCTCTCCCTTTCCAGTCGCTCACATATCCTTGCCGGAAAACCGCCCCAACTTTCCGGCCGTGAATCGTAGCCAAGCTCCACAGATTCATCTCATTTCCTGTTGCTATAGTATTGTCGGCTCCTCCGTCTTCTTCGTCATTACTTCTGTTGACTCCCCCTCGCTGCCGTCGATCGTTCTTCTCGTGGCCACAAATCAGGTAGGACTCGTACTCTTCCTCTGTTTTTCCCCTGCATCTCGGATGCCGGGCACACCAAGTCTATTCGGTGATTGCCCGGCCCCGTCGATGGATACTTACACTTGCTGGACACTCAAAAAGGTTGTTTTATTCGTTATATGTCGAGTTGGTGCCCTGAACTGTGTCAAAATGGAACCTGTATCTCCATTTCTTAGTCGCACCTTACGTGTTTGACAAAATGCTCCAATGAAACAGTACAAACTTAGAGCCCCGAATCTGACCGTGTTGATTTTTAAACTTGTTTTTTCGCAAACGGAAACACATTTGTAGCGGGATACGTCTTTTAGACCTTTAAACATCATCTTTAAGCCGAAAACCGCCTTGAAACCTCAACCTAAAACCCGTATCCAGGCTCGCACACCACCTGTTTGACAAAATGCCTGAATGAGAGCCGAGATTATTACCATCAAAATCTGTTCTTGTTATCTTCATTTCATCATCCGTTTGTGCTCAGATATGTGTTTCACGACGGACTTGGTATTTTCTTTCGTTTTTATGCCATGATTCGCACATTATCCAAGTCGGCCGCGAGTATACGTATCCCTGCCGGAGAATTCCTTCCCCATCCAAGAGGCCCGCATTTCGAGGCCCGCTGTTCGAGGCTGCGACCGTTAGTTCACTATCTCCATTTCATATGCTTGTATGTATGTTTGTTTGCGTTTTAGCACTAATTGTCGCCACGGGAAGTCTGGTGATCGGAAAGTAAAAAAAAAACGGTCGTCAACGTTGGCGTTTTGGTGGCTGGTGGTGCTGGATTAAGGATGGTGGTTTGGTGATGGTAGCATCGTTAATCTGGTTGGAGCAGATTTGACGTCGACGCCAGTCGAGGAGGTCAGTTTTGGTTCGGCGTAGTGGTCGCCGGTGATTCTACTCAGTGAGAACTCTCGGGAGAAGACGCACGTCAAGGAAGAGAACAACGTGAAGAGGAGTCCCGGTGAAGAAGACGTCCTGGGCAGAAGAGAACAAAAGGGGAAGAAAAGCCAAGGAAAAAATAGAAAAAGAAAAAGAAACAAAAAAAGAAGAAAAAAAGAAAAGAGGGAAAATAGAAGAATAAAAAAAAATTAGAAAAGAAATAGGAAAAGGGGGTCCCGGGCGGATCAGAGAGCTGGGTCGGATAGCCAGTCGGATCGGGTCAGGGGACCCGGTCCAGAATGCTTATTTTATTAATAAAAAACATTAAAAAATCAAAAAAGTTAAAAAATTCAGAAAAATTCAGAAAAATTCCGAAAGTTCAGAAAAATTAGGAAATGTTTAGAAATTAGTTTTTGAGTTAGTTTCATTAGATCTTAGTGTTAATTTCATTCTAGACTTAGTATGAAAAATAGAAAAAATGTGAAAATCCTTGGAAACTTTCCAAAAAATTGAACAAGCCATTAGGACTTTATCATAGGGCTTTTGATTGCCTTTTCTTTCTTAGAGACAATACTAGGTCGCTGATTATTTATTTTTATGCCGATTATTTGGTTGCGCACCTTTAATACATTGGTTGTTATTTTCCATTTTTAGCATGGTTAAAATGAGCTTAAGGCTTCTCGATAGACTGCCATGGTGCATTAGTTAACGAGTGATCAAGCGTAAGTACCGAAAGGGCACTAGTTAGATTACTAGTGTAATCAAGTCCCCGATCCTTAGAATCTTTTTATACGTACGTATCGAGATGACACTCCCACATCTCAATGAGGGTTTCTAGCCAATCATTGATTATGGCTAGTGGCAACTTCAATTGAATACATAGTTTATACAATTCTCATCGCATGAGGTATGAGGGTTGGGAGCACCTCAGTCCTTGGATTAATGAACTATTTGGTTTGTCCTTCAAACGAATCAATCAATGTTCATATCCATCAACAAATACCTTTAGGCTGCGTTTGGTCGTTTGGATTTCTAACTAGGATATGATAGGATATAAAATTCAAGGGATTTGCTATATCCTATTTACTATTTAGCGAATCGCAGTGATAAAACCGGATATTTTCACATATTACCATGTCCATTATTTGTTATGAATATCATATCAGTGTGAATGAACCTGAAAATTGCACAAACGGAGATGATAAACATCTCTCACGACACTCTTACCTACTTCATTTTTTATTTGCTTATTTTTTTATTATTTTTGCCTCTCTTTTTTATTTATTTTCTTTTTTATTTCTTTTTTTCCCTCCCACCATTTTCTAATAAAATTTTATTAAATAGCAAACTATAAAAATATACCTAAAATATGTAATAAATATAAATACTAAATGTATTTATAAATATATACATATGAAATTTATATCATAAGATAGAAAAAAATGAATATATAAATAAAAATAAGAATAAATAAAAACGAATTTATTGTTTTTTTTTGTTATTTTGAATTTTTTATATTAAAATTCAAATATTATTTATATTCAAATATAAGTTTAATTTTATTAATTTAACAAGTTTGTTATTCAAGAAAATAACTTTTATATTATGGATATTAGAAATCTTATCTACCTTTATCCCACCTCCTCCATGGGATAATTTTATCCTGGTTATATCCCTTCTATATCCAACTTTATCCTGTCTTGGGCAAGCACCAAATACGAGATAGGATAAAATCTATCATATCCCGAATTTTATCCCAACTACCAAACGTAGCCTTAGACCATTACATGTTTATTCCCCCTGATTGTGACGGGTAGGTCGCGACACAACTTAATCGGTCATTCCATATTTCTTTTCTTGTTGAGATTCTAGAGAATCGGGCACGAAAGAGATGCTGGAGGAAGAGTTAGGCAAGATCAGCCATTTGCCGGGTCACATTATGGACCAAATCCTGTCATCCTTGCCCATGAAGGACGTAGTCAGGACTAGTATTATATCGAGCCAGTTGAGGTACAAATGGTCTTTGATGACCAATGCATCGATGGAGATTCTTTTCATCAGCCATCTATCAACAATTGCTCGGTAAAGATAATCGACAATGTCCTCTCGCTTATACCGGTCCATTAAGTAGGTTCGAGTTCCACAACAGGGCCGACATTGACCGCTGGACTCTTCATCTATCTAGAGTCTTTCTAAAAGAACATGTCCTTAATATCTGGAACGGAGGGCATTGTGATACTCCTTCGCTTATTTTGGTGCAAGGATATGATCCCTTTGGAGCTGCACGGGTGTTTTTTGAAGGTCCCGTCTTCTCTAAGGATTCAGGGAAAAAAAAAAATTGGATATTCAAAATTCCTTTCTGACTCAGAATGCACTTGAGGCTCTAATTTTTAGCTTCCGTGCCATGTGTAAGAGATAGAACTTGAAGAACATGCACAGGATTGCGCGCGTCCCCGTCAAAGGGCGCAATCTTCAGTCCCTTGGTCTAAGAGGGACACTTCAAGATGTCACTTTAAGAGTTGCGAACGATTTGATCTGAAGTCAGTTACAGGAAGTTTCTGTCACGGTACCACAAACACGAGTGGATTTGTTGATGCCAGCTCAAGCAATTTCTCAAATTCTTCCATCATCTGCGCAAAGCTCAAAGTCTTGGGCTTAAAGATTACTTCCTCAAGGTACAGTGCACTTCCAGCTAGAGTAACTGAGGAAATTGTAAACATGGGTTTCCAAGTATTCATTGTGCTGAGCTCTTGTTCTGATTTAGCATTGCAATTTTGTACCTCACATGCAGTATTTGGCTACTTGGAAAGGTCCTGGAGACGCTGCCTAATCGGTGCCTCCATTTGGAGAGACTTTCTGTGGCATAAAGTTCGGTAGCACAGAGAAGATTTTGGCGGTAATGTGCCTGATTAGAAGTTCCCCACTTCGGAAAGCAGTAATGTCTGAGGTCAGTACAAGACAGCCCCATTATATTCTCAGGTCTCCACGGTTTGTTTTCTGATGCATATCTTTGTTAATGCATTGCCATCATATCACGTCATCAGTTGGCATCATTAAGTTTATGATTCGGGGATCATCATCACATACACATACAGATTGATCAAGAACATTTCTTTGAAAGTTAAATGTGCAGATTCTTCGACCAAAAAAAATGTGCAGGTTCAAGCCAAGGAATGGACGACCGCTGGTTCAACAGTCATCTTTTGGGAAGATTGGCCACAGGTGTTGCCTCAAACTAGTAATAGTAGTCGAAATGATGGGCGTTGGTGGTTGCAAAGCAGAGCTGGAATCAATCAAGTTTCTGTTTTCTAGTTTGCCGAAGCTAAGAAAGATGATACTCATGTCTAATTGCGCAGGTGAGAAAGCAACTTTCTCGAGGAGTTGCTGCAGTATCAGCGAGCCTCGGCACAAGCTTGTCCACCCAGAAGTCGATCAATATTAAGAAAAAAGCACACATGGGATTGGTAATTACTTATTGATATCATTAGTATTAACTGATGTGTAAAACTTTTGATCGGGTGTCTTGGTAATATTTGTGGAAGAAAATCGTCCATTTTCCTCAGCTGCGGTCTAAAATCTCGGTTGCTGCTTTCAGCATGCAATGCTATAGGTGGTAGATCAAGTTTACCAAACAACGTGACAACTTTTGATGTCATCAAGGCGTATTGGGCCGCCAGTTACATCACTATGGCTCTCACCCTACATTCGAACCCAATCCCTTCGATATTGTACCCGGCATAGACTTGTATACTATGGGTTATAATGCGACTATTCAAGCTAGGATAATAACGAAGCATAAACTTTCGAATACCATAAAGATAATTTTTGGCGTTTATGATATCGTAAAAGAGAGAATATGAAATTTTACGCATTTGGATAACTGATGCAAATGTGAAGTTTCTAGTATGATGTTGTGGCATTAGGAATTTAGGACTGCTTATTGGAAGAATAATAGGGCATTAGGATGGCATACTTTGAAGGGTGCGTTTAGTTTGGCTTTGCGAAAGGGCTTTCGGCCTCGAAAGCTCCTTTCTAAAATGCTGAACCGTTTGGTTCAACTTTCGGCCTAGCATTTGGAATGCCGAAAGCCCAAAGCTGGTCTGGACTAGCTTTAGGCTTTCGGCATTCCACAAATGCTGAACCCAAATTTTTTGTCCCCAAATTACCCTCACTTATTTTGGCTTATTCCTGTTTTGCCTCTCTTGTTACTGTTCATCTTCTTCGTGAGGCGGCCGGCGAAGGAGGCCGGTGAGGGCGGCCAACACCAAATCGGGCCGGCGAGGTCGCACGACCCAAGCGACGGTCGCCTGAGGTTGCGCGACCGCCCAGGCGCCGCCTGCCTGGGTCGCGCGAGGCTGTCAGCCGCCTGGGTCACTCGACCTCAGGGCGGCCCGGACGATACCGCCCCGGGTCGAGCGACCCGGGGCGACGACCGCTCGGGGTCGAGCGACCCGGGCGCCGGCCGCCGAAGGCCGCGCGACCCAGAGCCGGCCGCACGGTCGCCGGCCTCGGGCAACGGCCGCCGCCGGCAGAGACTAGTTCACGGGGTCGCCCGGGCCTCGGCGACTTGCCGCCGGCGCAGATCTAGCTCACCGGCGGCCATAGGCCTTCGCTAGTCGCCGGCTCCGGCGAAGGGTAGGGTAGGGTAGGGTTTTTTGTTTTTTAATAAAAAAAAAAATTCTCAAAGCCCATTTGCAAAAAAAATTTACCAAACACTATTTGGGCCAAAGTAGCTTTACAAATGATGTTTTACCAAACGCCACTTGTATTTCCCCAAAGAGTTTTAACCTAAAGGTATTTGCATTCTCCCAAGTAACATTTTGAAAGTTGAACCAAACGCACCCGAAATCCTTGGAGAAATTAAACGATGGAATGGACGGAATTCCAAAATATTTTGAGGCACTCAAGCCTCAAGGTGACAGACGGCACACGCTCGCTTTGCCTTGATGTCTAAGGTGTCCGCTTCTCGAAGTAAAGTGTGCACCTTTTGAGCTAAGATACATGTGTCACAGACCGTGATTCTCTTATACTTGTCTACCCTTGTGAGTGGAGCTTGGGATTATCAAGTGAACAGTGAGTGATGTAGAATGGATGAATACAATTGATTCGTGGAAGTGATGTCAGGACGGTTGGTGCTAAGAGTTCTAGGTTAGAATGAATATACCTTAAGAGCTCTGAAGGCGGGATTGACTTCCTGTGCACAAATTGGTCAAGAGTTGATGCCGCTCTCCTGATGAGGCCATGGTAGGCCAAAACCAGTTACTGTTCCTAAAGTATTTTACTCATGTCGCTCGGTGGACCAGATGCCCGAGCTAAGCTGGGCGCGATACGATCCGATATGAGAAAGCTATTCACCATATGGTTTTTTGGAACAATTATAGAATGAAGGCTGGCTTAGTGTGAACAACCCACCAAGCGCCGCACGGGCTATTCTGCGGCCAAGGAACTGCCGGTCGTGTCATGTGGTATCGGAGCAAGATCCCTCTAGTAAGTGAGTTGAGTTGGATAAAATATGTGGTCTACCCGGTCCTACGAGGGTAAAGAGTGAATCGCCGGGGCAAAACGTACTCGGACAAAGTGCAGCTCTCGACATACTTCTAGGATGACAATGTGGGCACAAGAAAAAACCGCTTCCTAAGTGAATAGGGAAAACATTCTTGGATCAATAATCTCAATATGGGTATGCTACCATGTTATTAACAAGAAGAGAACTTACATTGGTCTATTGGGATCACGAGAAATCGAGTAGGCGAAGGATGGTGCTGCCAAAAGGTGCAATTGTTAAAAAATGCCACACTTGTTAGGGAAAACACAAGTGATCGAAAGTGCCGAACGGCTTTGATCGAGAAAACGTACCAATAGAGTGGCTTGTCATTGCCATTTGATGTATGATCACATCAATGCTTGAAGACTATTCAATGTACGATCCAGAGTGGCACATTAATTGTTGAAGAATGCAGGGAAGTGACATAATAGCTCGCAACTAGGGCATTGCGGAATTGAGTGGGGGAGAATGTCACGGACCGTGATTCTCTTATACTTGTGTATCCTTGTGAGTGGAGCTTGAGGTTATCTAGTGAAGAATAAGTGATGCAAAAGGGATTAATACAATTCATTTGTAGGACTGATATCAGGACGGTTGATACTAGGATTTCTAGGTTAGAATGAATACACCTTTAGGAACTTTGAAGGCGAGGTTGGCCTTTCGTGCACAAACTAGTCGGGAGCTGATGCCACTCTCATAATGAAGCCATGGCAAGTCGAAACTAGTTGTTGTTTCTAAAGTATTCTACATGTATCACTCGATAGACTAAACACCCGAGCTAAACTAAGCATGGTACGATCCGATATGAGGAAGGTGTTCGCCATATGGTTCTTTGGAATAAATATGGAACGAAGGCTAGCCTGGTGTGAATGACCCACCAGGCACCACACGAGCTATTACACAACCAAGGACCTACCGGCCCGTGGCACACATCTCTTAGTATAATGCATGCCCCTTAAATCAAATGGCGCGACCCTAAGGATAAAGGGCACGCAGCTCCTACCTTGAAGCGAGCGCCCCTTAAAGATAAAGGGCACGCCTCTTACGACGATAAGGCATGCCTTTTTGGTTGAAGGGCACACACCTATCGGTAGGGTGCACGTTCTTTATTATAATATCTCATGTCGCTTGACTTTCAAAACCCATAGTTCATTTTTTGGTCAAAACTCAACTTTTTTTTTTGTGTCAAATTTCAAGTGTCTTTAAACAAAGTTTGTATAAAATTGCTTAAGATTGTGTTGAAGTCACAATCAATGTGTAGCCTTAGACGGCCTACCATTTGCCCAATGCTTGTGTCACGGGCCGGCAGTTCCTTGGCCGCGGAATAGCTCATGCGGCGCCCAACATGTCATTCACACTAGGCTAGCCCTCGTCTCTAGTTGTTCTAAAGAACAATACGGCGAATAGCTTTTTCGTATCGGATTGTACCATGCCTATCATAACTCAAGTGTCTAGTCCATCGAACGAGACACACATAATACTTTAAGTACGACAATTGGTTTCGGCCTGCCATGGCCTCATCAGGAGAGCAACATCAGCTCACAACCAATTTGTGCACAGGAGGTCAATCCTGCCTTCAAAACTCCTAAGGGTACATTCTTTCCATCCTAGAACTCCTAGCACTAACCGTCTAGACACCACTCCCACTACCCAATTGTATTTATCTCTTCTGCATCCTCACTCTTCACCCGATAATCTCGAGCACCACTCACAAGGGTACAGGACTACGAGAGAATCACAGTCCATGACATTCTCCCCCACTCAATTTTGCAACGCTCTTGTTGCGAGCTGTTCTGTCACTTCCCTACGTCAATTCTCACCATCAATGCCGTTTTTTCGGGACTTACATGAGTGGTGGACGCTCGCCCAACAAAACAACTTCTCTACACTGGTTGCTTTTCTTGATTAGAGGCACTCGACACCCTTAATCACTTGTGCTTTCCTTGACAAGTGTAGCATCTTTCGGCAACTACACCATTTTGGCAACATCTTTCTTCGCCTACTTTTTGGTTTCTCGTGATCCCAACAAAACAACGGAGGTTTTTCTCCTTGTTGATAACGTGGTAGCAGACCCATCTTGAGACTCACCTAATTGATCCAAGAACGTTTTCCTTATTCGGTGAGGAATCAGTTCTTTCATGTGCCCCATTGTTATCCTAGAAGCAAGTCGAGAGTTGCGCTTAGTCCGAGCATTCTTTTGGCTCTAGCAATTCACTCATCGCCCTCGTAGAACCAGGTAGACCACAGGTTTTCTTCAACTCACTAACCTACTAGAGGCATCCTGCTTTGATACCATCTGTCACGGGCCGACGGTTCCTTGGCCACGAAATAGCCCATGTAGCGCCCGGCGCGTCATTCACACCAAGCTGGCCCTCGTTCTCTAGTTGCTCCAAAGAACAATACGACAAATAGCTTTTTCATATCAGATCGTACCGTGCTCAAAGCATAGCTGGGGTGTCTAGTCCATCGAGCAAAACACACAGAATACTTTAGGTATGACAACTGATTTCGGCCTACCATGGCCTCATTAGAAGAACGGCATCAGCTCCCGACTAGTTTGTACACGGGAGGTCACCTCCGCCTTCAGAGCTCCTCAGAGTATATTCGTTCAATCCTACAACTCTTAGCACTAACCGTCTTGACACCACTTCAACTACCCAGTTGTATTTATCCCTTCTACATCCTCACTCGTCACCCAATAACCCCTAGCACTACTCACAAGGGTACAGGAATACGAGATAATCACGATCCGTGACACTTGGCTGCAAGTGGCCTCACCGATTTGGTACCACCCCAATGATTGGGGAGCAAAGACAATACAACTGAGATGGGCGAGATATGATATTTGTTAAGATGCACATGAGATATGCTAAGGGTTTGTTTGGTAACACTCCAAATTTTCTAGTTTTTTTATTCTTTTGTTTCCTGTAATAAAAAAGAATAAAAATATGTTTGACAGAGTCAGTTAATTTTTTTGTTTCTTGAAACAGAAAATTGGCCAAGGAATAGAATTGGAG